TCCTCTCTCTCTCTCTCTCTCTCTTTTCCCCTTTCATTGTCATGTCTCATTAAATCCCTCTTCTATCTACCCTCGAGACCAAAATGAAATAACAAACATCAATTGTACTTTCTGTATAGGAGCTACAGGAGCTGGGGGGGGGGGGGGGGTGCAGAGGCCTTGTACTCCTTGTGGCGACACGTTCTTTGTCTCTTGTTTCTTTATCCGTATCCGTTGATACTACCTCTTTCTCCTCTCTCTCTCTTCCTCTCTTTCATTCTCATGTCTCATTAAATTCCTCTTATATCTCACCTCCGATCATGGTTACCCTTTCCGTCAATACTCCTACACTATATCATCTTTCCTGCAAAGGTATTATGTAAATGTATGTTATCAGATAGTCAGAAGCAGACTTATGTAACAATGTTTGCAAACATAATGTATATCAATAACAAGTATAACCGATGTTTTAAAAACAATCAATTCGTTTTGATGATATAAATCATTGCCACATTCTAATTTTTAATTAATATATCACTAATGCTGAGTTTTATGATGTATTCAAATTTCTTTATCTATACATACATATGTCAAGTACAGTATGTGGTATGCGTACAGTTAATATCACTACATCGCACCAATGAGAGTGGTGTGTCCAGTAAAGACCGAGTTTAAAGAAGAGATGAAGAGAGAAAATGGAGAGAAATTAGCCTGGACACCGGCGATGAAATATATTGGCAGGAAGGAAGCAATTATCATAATTTCACCAATCAGAATATTCCCACAAAACGGCGGTGCTATCTTTTATGATTCATATGATACAAAATACTCGTCATAACACACGAAGACCGCGTGAGGTGTAATGTTTAATAATGGGCGTTGGCGTTGGCGTATAAGGAGGTTAAAAGAAAGTGGGCAGTTTTATAAGACCCCAATTATTTTAAGAATACTGAGTGTCCATGCCCATGAAAATACGTTTTATGTTCATTACTTAAAAGGCATGTTTTTGGATTCTCTTCAGATGTACACAATTATAATTGAGTATTATGTATCTTTTAATAATTTGTCTAAGTTAGAGAATATTTATTACACTTATAAGAATAACCAAGTATATACTTTGTGATTAATGCTATGTGGCATCGGCAATTAGTCGCCTTCATTGACAATGGATATGAAATATGAACTTCAAACTTTCCATTATCAAAGACCAATTGTATATTAATTAGTTACTTGTACTTATTTCATTTGTTTTGCAAGGTATTTTTTTTTGGGGGGGGGGGGGGGGGGCTGCCGGGGAGGAAGAAGACTTTACAACGACCTATTTATACTAAAATGTATAACTTATCATTTCAGGGACTTAGGGAAAGATATTGGGGTGGCTTCATAAATATAATATATTACATAATTATGTCATAATACATTTGATTCCATGGCTGTGACGAGCTTGATGGTTACATGATGCTGATGATGATGATGGAAATGGTAGACGTACTAGTAGAAGTAGTAGTCATGATAATGATAATAGTACTAATAATGACAACAACAACAATAGTAACAAAAACAATGATAACTATTATTGCCCGCATAATAATATAAATAATGATAATGATGATAGAATTAATAATAATGATAATAAGAAGAAGAAGGGGACAAATGCTTATCACATACAAACTTGGTAGCTCCATACTAGATCTACAAGTAGGCAGGCTTTATCTCCATCGTGTGCAGGCGAGACACTATTGACGCCATTTTGTTTCGAAACTAAGAGCTGTTTCTCTGCCCAGCGGTAAAATAGCGCATTTGATAATTAACGTATTCTTATCAGGTAATCTATTGCATGCGACCATGATAGATGCATCAATTAACTGGATATACGGGCTTATAATGAGGATCCAATCGGCTTGCTCCCACATAATGATGTCGAGAGTTGAGCTTCTTAATGTATTAATGGATGACTCACTTGACATACAGGTGTTCAGTGTACTCTGTATTCGTGTGCATTGCATGAAAGAGACCAATACACGTTTAGATCAGAATTTTTAGCACAACAATGTTGTCCGCCACCTTTCGTTAAATCAACACATTACATCATTCGAATGATTTATGTATCATTTGACTTCTCCGAATATGAATCGCTCACTATTTCCCTTTTTTTCTCTCTCTCAATTATGAGGTCAACGGACTAACATCTATGGAGGAAGATACCTTTCACCATATATAAACTTCTGACCATTTTACATCTGAAATAACATTTTCAATTTTACATGAAGTTTTGAATTTCACATCAACTTACATTTTACGTTTTACATTTCAACCCTTTTAATAAACATGGAGAAAGTTTATAAAATATGAAAGAACTATCTTTCTAGATCACTTATCATAGACACAAAGGACCAAATATTGTTCGAAAATATTGCGATGATTTGAATGATATACATATTTGACATTCGACGTAATATCACGCCCAATACTGTATAGGCCTAAATACGACTGCTATGTGTCTTTGTTTCACTTTGTGTGTGTGATATAAACAAATAGTTCCTGATTAACCCATTGCTTACTGGAACCTGGGGGTCCCTGTGTTAAGCCTATGGGAATGAGAGAATTCAGTAGCCAACGGGTTAAGACGGAGAAAATTGCTTTCAAAACTTTTTTTCAAAATCTGTAGCACTTTAAAATGTGTACGCCTATAGATATCTTAGCATTGAATATAACGCAATTATCGTTGCATTTCTGCAATTGTAGAAATAACAATGCCTTTCACCAACATGCACGACGTAGGTGAAAGGCATTGTTATTTCTTCCTTGCATGCCCTTTTCTAATCATATTTGTTACCCACCGTGCCTCATGCGGGAAAAATATAAAAATGAAAACAGATGAAGGGAGGGGGGGGGGGGGAGGAAAGAAAATAATCATGACGTCAAAGAAGGTAGAAATAAGTGAAATACAGCGAATCATGTAGAAAATCATCGAGGAAGGAGAATTCTATTCAGGATAATACGTGACTTTAGTCAATGGGGATCACTAGCCGAAAACATGTCAAACATATTTAAATATGTCAAACGAGCTTTCAAATTTGAAAAAGATTTCCCTCGTTTTCCTCGTTTTCATGCTCCTTTATCGTACCAATATCTACTTTAAGATGATGATAATGCACGGCAATTACCAATAATCTTGATAATAATGATAATAATAATAATAACGATAACAGCAACATAATAATACTATTTATAATGATCAATATCGATGTTGATGATGATGATATTGATTATAATGATATCAAATTTACTTCTACTACTACTACTACTACTACTACTACTATTACTACACTATAGTTTTGCTAAGGAAGGTAATTTTTTGATACAACAAAACCTCGCCCCCTTCGTTCACTATGCTCCCTCGTCCCTCGCATATCGTCCCCCCTGTCATGAAAAAAAAATCGCTGCCCCTGAGTACTACTACTACTACTACTACTAATAGTAATAATAAAACTCCATAATTGATAACGCATGCTACTAATATTAGCAATTGAAAATAAATGTTTTAAGATGTGTTTAAGGTTTGCCGACAATATCAGTAACCTGATGACATTTATAATTTGACGATACTTTGCCCAGTCCTTGTACACTGAAACATTCGTTGTGTAAAGATTTTACACAACATTGGGTGGTTCACTCCTTATACATAGGGGCTGTGTTAAAATGAGTAACACAAATTACACAACTTCACACTGCAAATTCGTTGTTTAAAATTGTGTATTTTTTTTAAACACAATCCCTATGTAAAGGAGTGAACCACCCAATGTTGTGTCAATTCGTTACACAACGATTTTTCTCTTTTGCAGTGTCGTCTTTGGAAGCGATAATATTATTCAAGATGTACTAATCCGTTCAACAAACAAATACAAATATTTCCGTGACTCTCTTGCCAGGCCTTTGGATTAACCTTTGCAGAATATAAATACTATGACGAGTACAAACAGAAGCGATATGATTTATACTAAATATAAAATCGTGTGAATCCTATGGGAAACAAGAGATACTACCAACCAGAAACTCCTCTGAAAAGATTAGAACTGGAAATTGCCTTTATGTGGAATTATATCGACCGTTAGGAATGATTACGTCGATCAATTTAATTTCATGCAATATTACCTGGCACAACAATCCCATTCGATTGATGCCTGGTAGCTCCTTGCAATCCCAGATGAGCATAGGATACGGTATCTCAAAATGGATTGTGGTAAGAGAGTTTAATTTGCCGGATAAAAAAAAAAAATCCCTTAGATTTTGATGACTTAATGCTTCTGCTAGAGTAGAGAATGAGCAGGAAGAGCAATTGAATCCAAATGACCGGGTAATGACAGTAAGGAGCTCTGAGAACGGAAGTATTAAGTATATTCGAGTATTATTACGAAAAGAAGTTCACTAAACAAATATTGTTAGATACATACAAAAGCTGACATTCACGTAGCTGGCAGACATAATCATATACAAAATACTGTTCATCCATTTGCAACAAAAAAAAAAATCCTGTTATAGTTTAATCAAGAAATAAACCTTATACAAGATGTGTGATTATATATATATTGTTATGATGAAGATGAGAAGACGCATGCTTTAAATCCAACAGTTTTTATTAGATCACGAATTTTCGACCTAAATTACGTCTTTATCAAGCAGTTTTGAAGAAAAAAATACGAATAATCATCCTTATAGCGTTTCTTTTTGGTAATCTATATCTGCATTTCCGTTAAAACTTGTCCATGGGCAGATTTTGTTGTTGTTGAAAACACACACAAACACACGCACACAAGCGTTCACGCACTCTACGCACACACGGTATAAAGCTTCGTGATCTTCAAAACATGACGTTGGAATACAAAGCATGACATTTGTAAACTTGGTAGGATCGATGACTGAGGCTGCATGAGATTTTCAAATTTATACATGTTCGTTTATATGTACATGAAATAGAAACAGAAATGCAGCTAACGAAGGAAAAAAAGACGCCATCTTACCTTTCATGGCAAGATCCTTGGTTAGGGTTAGCATCACGTGACCTCGAAGGGTTTCTCCAGAATGGTAGACTTCCAAGGGATCATCAAGGAAGACGTCGAACCCCTTCACTGCTCCCATGTTCAACATGATGACGAATTGTTATCGCGTCGTCGACGTCGTCTTGAGAAAATAATACATCACATGGGTGTCGTCTGCTTCTACATTTGCGTTTAGTGCGCTTTCACTCCCGTCTAAAATCAATGACGCGTTAGCCAGTAACGACCGTTGGATGTAGTGGAAAATGATAGTAGTGCTTGGTTGGTGTCGTTATCGCCGTTAACGAGACTAGGATTTCTTGCTGTAAATGAAATAGAATCGTAAAGTTAAGAACAAAAACAGAGTCAACGAAGAGCAAGTATTCATCCTGCATGGAAAATTAATCAAGATGAAAACTCATGAAGATATATGTGATAATGTGAATGATATGACGATGCCAGAGTATACATTGTTAAAGGAAACTTCGTACTTTAAAAACTATATCCGAACTGAAAAGTTAAGTGGACGAATTTTATATCAACGGAAAGCTTATAAGCCATAGACTACAAATAATGTAACTGATATACCATTTTAGTGTCTGTCAAATGAGTATCAGCTCTCTGAAAACTCAATCTAAAGCTTTGAAAATCGGAAGTTGTTGACCTAAAAACTTGCTATCGACTTGATGACATCATCTTATGTTGAGTAGGAGAATTCACAATGTCAACATATTATGTCGTCTCTGTAACTTCGGCAAATTTGACACCTATAGATCCGTAATTTGGAGGGGTGCGGGAAACGAGGTTTTAATTTGCTTTTGTGCAATAATGAAAGGATAGATACTTGTTATTACTTTATATTTTTATACTACATACATTCAGTTTTCCATTTATATCAAGTTCTATTTTCATCGGGAAGGGTCTTTAAGGAAACTTCATTTCTCATAATTTAATAGTAAACAAAAAACGACTTGAAATGGTGCCGGTTTTCTGCAACCTCAATCTGGGGAATACTTTAACACCGTAATTATTTTTTTGTTTGATTCGTAGCACTTTTTTGAACTTTGCGTATAATACATTTTTTGTATGTTTGAAAAAATAGCTGCATATGATTATATACAATTTATTTGATGAAAGATTAAGCTGAACAATTACCTTTCCTTCATTTTAAGTAGAGCTCAACATAAGGCCGACAGCTAGAATCTCACGAACATCTTTTTCTCTCTGTGTTATAACAGGACTGCTTAATTAGTGTATTACGTTGAGAAGTCAACTCGCTTCAACTTTTTCTCGACGACCCTAAATTTTCACAGGACGCCTGATAACTAACTTACGACGTCCATTAACTTAGCTACGCTGTAGACAATCTTAGAAACAGATCATCCAATTGTAAGCATTTGTTCCGCGAAGCTGTATAATCCTATCACATACGCATTAGAATGATTGAGTTGAATCCATGGCTTGATCAGATTCATTCCCTGGTAGTCATAAGCACATGGCGACGGATGCAAGCCGAAGAAGGTTACAGACAGTAGATTCACTGGGCAATTATTTGGCTTCCTAGCAATAGCATCTTGCAAAACGAAGACGGAATGCTGTGAGATAAATCCATGCGGACTAGCTTCATTCACTACAATGCGAGGATGAGGTCATTTCTCGAAGCGCCCACACGTGATTTTGTAAGACTTCACGTTACCATGGAGACAACTGTCTGCTTCGGATGGATGGATGCAATGCTCAAGGGCCCATAAAAGGAACGTCTGGGATGAGGTGTAGCGTTAATGCCTGCTTTGTTTATGTCTGCAGTGGAATAGATATCAAATAGAGGGAAATGAACATACAATTTTATTAAAGACATGATATCTCAGATGTTCGACGCTTCCATGCATTATTTATATAATTATGTTGTTCCAGAAGAAAACGCATTGAAGCGTCGAAAATTTGAGTGACATCATTGAATACATCTTTTTCTTCTAAAATGAATTACATGAGCTTTGGACTTATATTATCTCACAATGGAATACAGATATATTATATATAAGCAAGTTCAGTAAAACTGCAATTTCTGATAGTGCTCAACTGTAGGAGCGAATGTAGATATAGGAGTTGGAAGGTTACACTTTATTGGTACGAGTTATACAGACTGTTTCGCCAGAAGGCTCATCAGTTACTAAATACATTATACAATCATGGCGTTACATTTACATTTACATTTACGTTACATTACATTAATGCCGTATCGGGGATCGAACCACGACCTCTGAATTTCAAGTCGAGTGCTTAAACCACTCGACCACGACACTTCTATTAACACTATCGACACTAGTTCTATTAAAAATACCACCATGCTACTGCTAAATATTGGTGTCTGCCATAATCACTCGAATCCTTCAACAAGATGCATCGACTCGAGAACTCTTCAAGGGCCATCCACTGGTAGCATTCAAGACCGAAGTTAAGGACAACACCTGGTCTGCCTACGGTTGACACCAGATGCTCCAGCTAAAGATTACCAGGGGAGTGTTTCCAAAAGACTAAGATCGACTTTAAGCTCGACTTAACTATAGCAGGCCGTTCATGCTTCTAGATGCTCTCACCATTATGATCTTTAGATAAGATGTTTTTCCTTTAAAGCTTATCTGCCATAGTTTATAGGAGGGATTAGACCGCCCTGCAAGGTCACTGGACAGATGGTTATCTCATCAACTCAGCTCTCAGTTAAGATAAGAAAAAGAGGATCATGGGGGACCAATGGTCACCGATTAGGCATTGGTTGTCACATAGAGGGCGCAAGTAGCTACAAGTAGTGCAGTGGGCCTTTAATAATGAAATATCAAAAACTGTACATTCTGTAGATTTGTGACCACGATTTGTACGTCCCTTGAGAGACCAATGGTGATAGCAAACAGTGGCATGAACGGCCTGCCGTAGTTACGACCGACTTAAAGTTGATCTAAGTCTTTGTGAAACACTCCCCTGATCAGCACTTCAAATTGCAAGAGGAGCAGACGTGACACCTGCGCCATCCAGGACTTAAAGGTTTGTGGAGTCGATAGATGCTATTGCATTACACGGACGATCAACGGAAGCTCAGGGGTCAACAAATCATCTACCGTCAATGTCATTTTTCACTAATTTCCCAGTTTTTTTAAACTTTTTCTTATAACTTAGCTTTCTCTTTATCTCTTTCTCTCCCCCTTTCTTTCTCTCTATCTCTCTTTCTCTCTCTCTCTCTCTCTCTCTCTCTCTCTCTCTCTCATTTTCTTACAAGTATGCTTTCATCCTCCTTTACTGACGTGTTTATTCACGCCCTCTCTCCTGTGCTACCCTTCTCTGCCTTTGGTTTCCTTAAGTTTAGGCTACTACATTGTAGGTCTTTAGGCGGTGTTTAAAGGTGTCATAAGAAGGGATTCATGGACAAAGGTGGGGAAATTGTTCGTATCATTTATTACGTCATACCTCTTTCCTACGCGCTTTTTCTTCTTGTAATCCGTGTCCTCTATCTTTTCGCCTCAGCTATTTTATGGGAATAGGATACGCTTATTTTGACGCATAACAATTAGTCAAAGTCCAATAAAAACCATTACTTGACGATACCCTAAGGGCGAAAACTTTTTAAACGATTTCTTCGTGTATGGAGGATCATTATTTCCTGTGTTTGTGGGTTTTTTTTTTCGAACTTCGAGCAGACCTCTATCCTTGTGTACCTGTATATATATTCGTAACGATTGAATCATTTTAGGAGTACTTCAAAGTTTCCTCATTAGAATAATCATCGTTCGTATACTTCCTATAAGTATGGAAGCAGTAATGGGGGCCTAAAGGATTTGATAAGTTCGTGATAACATTTTACAAAACCCCTTTCACAATATACTTCTTGGACTATGACATCTATGAATGAAAGAAAAAAAGAATAACCGATGTGACATAACATACACAACTTGTGTTGAGAGATTTTGTGTTACGGTCTCTATAATCAATAGGTTAAATGTGAAGGATCTTTGTTGTTGTCATATTTGTTAGAGACTATCCAATGACAGTGGTGACGGATATGGAGAAGGCATACATTTTCGTTTTATCATAACCATTCTTCTTGAATGCTTTCCAAAGTGCCTCAGAAATATATAACACAATGAACGATACAACAAAATCCGATTAAATTTCCCAAATATTCCGTAAAATCATGTATGCAGCCGAAGCAGAATAAATATGATTTTCTTCTTAACCCTCAAGTGCAGATCTAGATACCCCTTGCTTTTATTTTAACAAAACGATAAATTATGAAGTTCCATTCCACAAAATTTAAGTGCTTTTTGAAAAGGCCTCGGTCTTGACTAATTTAAAAGAGTGCCACGCATCCTTTGCCAATTCACAAGGCATTGTGTATCGTCAAATACTCCGGCAATATCTGCGACATGGAAATTGTTGCCGCACTTTCTCGCAATTTTGAGAGGGATAAGGTAATTGTGTTGCCATAGCAACGTCGATACTTATCAGTTTCGCCCAGGTATCCAATCTGATTTCTGGCGTCCAGTTAAGGCGCATGAAGGCAAACGTGGCATTATAATGGAAATAAATACAACTTCAGAAAGTATCCTTGTAACAGTAAAATAAAAATAAAAACATGTCACCATTCTGTGCCTCTAAAGTGGTTTGATGTAAATATATCTCGCTCCCATCAATAAGTATTGTATGTAGAAAAAAGGTATGACTTGAGGTCTACGCTACGCATAAGTTATACCAGTATGATTGAAATTGCATTGATGGAAATGTTTTTAAGTATGTCTCAATTTAATATACATATGAATTAATATTATAGTATGAGGAAAATGGATTTTAAATTTGACATCTATATACTTGTAAGAATCAAAAGTAATAAAATAAAATATACACCAATATTACTTTGAAATAAACTACCTGCACCGCCATGACTTTATCGCATAAAAGTGATCTTTAAAAACCAACAGTAATGCATTCGTATTATTACATGTAAGTAATAGTACACTCACCTGATAATCCTGACTTTATTTAGGTACAAGATACATAAATAAACAAAATCGATCAAGATAACATAAAAAGGATAACCATTTCAGTACTAAACATAAAAATAATTTAAAAGACAACTGAGGCTACAAGAGGTTGATTGTTTTTAGTTTTAGGGCAAAGCTTTTTTTAAAATTAAATATCTTTTTGATTGAATATGATAATGGTAAATTTATCCTAATGATAAAGCATCGTACATACGCCTATCAAGAATTAAAGCATGAATATTGTATCGTAAAATAGTAATTTTACCCAACTCGCTACCCCTCGAAACGAGAGAACGTGACATTCAGCCATATTATAAGATTATGATTCGATTTCAATTCAATTTTTTAGGTCCCCCCAAAACATAGACATTTAAATATTTTACACAATTCCCATGAAATATGTATATTGCATCCCTAAGATGCGAACATTCCTAATCCAACAATATAATAGATATATTTTTACCATTTTTAAGAGGGGCGTCCCATATGCATGCATTCATGGAAAAATTATTAGACCAAGCAAGTGCACTGATAATATTTTATATCGAGCAGGGAATGAAATACCATAAAATCAACGTACAATTTAAATAATGTAATATTTTCTTATTCATTTCAATTTATTTATTCCATCGTCATGTAGAAACCACAAGAAAAATAATACAAAGAGCGATGTGCTTTGAAGGTAGAGATTTTTGTTGTTGTATATCTCAATAGAAGCGTGGGCGAATTATTTTTTCCACGGCTTTACATGCATTATAAAAACACTATTACCAATATCCGTGATTGATTATAATGAAGATAAAAATAATATGTATTACCTGTCTTGAAGAATAAATCTTCTATTAACTTTCATTGAATATTTTTGTTAACATTATTCTAAGCAAAATAATAAAAATCGTATTAGCTTCCTCATCAGATTGCTAAATGGAACTTATATTTTAGAAAATATTTTCTTGCTAGTGTATCAAGCATGTCACACGAAAATGGTTACGATTTTGACAGCTCTGATTAGGTTTTTGAAGACATTCATTTTGAGGGCGGATTATTTGGCGAATGAATCAGCTCTTCAGAATCTTATTATCAGTTTGATCTGCTATGATCAATAGAGTAAATCGTCTCTCACTTATTGAGGAAGTTGTATATTTTTGCCATTGTGACATCTCTGATTGAAGTGGTTTCAATGGCGGATTATTTGATATCATCTTCTTGAGAATCTCAATGGTGTCCCCATTACATGTCATGAATGACTTTCAATCCACAAAGCAGTCGTCTCTAAATAGTGGGGTATGACAACCTTTTTTCTTCGTTTACACTCAGACCACTAATATGATTTCTCAGACTTTTATTTTATGACTTCTTCAAGTGTGAACGGAGCATGAATATGTGAGACAAATCGCTTTCTTTTTCAAACTGTGTCACTGCGATCTCTTTTTATTCAATCGATAGATTGTACAAGAGTTTGTAGGGGAATGTGTATCGTTCATTTATTTATATTGCTAGGGGGTGTAACATTGATATGTTTGTTTACCTATAACTTGTTTCGTAAGAGTTACTCTGTTACCTTCAAAAGCAATAACTGGTCATATTAAAAGTAGGTTTTAGTTAGGCTTATAAAACAACTTGAATTTTAAAAAACCAAGAGGGAGGGAATGAAAAAGAGGAGGAGAAAAAAAGGGAAATGAAAAGGAGAAGAAACAATGTTGTGTAATAAACATGTGATCCTTCTATTCAGGATTAAAAAAACCCAATGCTTTAAAGGTACAAGAGACGGAACCCCCCCCCCCCCCCCCCCTCCTGCTGCCTGAGCCTGTTGCAACACTACACGTACTCATAATTTCATGATCTTAATCATCACCCATCGCAGTACCCCACGAATATCTGCATAGCTGTTTATGATAAAAAAACTGACCACCTAGGCAATGGTGAGAGATTGTGGTTTGCTGAAGCCTAACCTGGAGGCGTGATCATCATATGGTAAAGGCTTTCGTTAACCCCCTTCCAAAACACAACCTATTTCCGTGAACTCTCTTTTCATATCATTGGATCGTTCCTCTTTCCCCTTCTCTCTGCCTAATTAGTTTCATTTGTATCTCCCTCTCCCTCTAATTATCGCCTTTGCTTTTTCCATCTCTCATCCCTTTATTCTCTCCCTCCCTGTAATACCTTATATTATGCCTTCTCTCTCCCCCTCTCCCCTCTCCCTCTCTGTCTCCACCTCTCTTCCCCGTTCTTTTTCCTCTCTCCTCCTCTATATCCTTGTCCCTCTTTACCTGATTCTCTATTTTTAAAATTCCTAGCTCCATCTATCTCTTATTGTCTCATCTCAGCTCTCAGTGTCTCCCTTTCTCTCCACTCTCTCTACCATTTCTTATCTCTCATACTTTCTTCAGTGTAAAAGAGGAAATTAAAGGAATACCTAATACTTGACAGTCAGAGAAGAGAAGTGAATGACATGTTATATGATTGAAATTTTTATTCTTCTGTCGGTTCATACTTTTTCATGTTGTATATACTTATGTTTTCGTACGTTATAGAATTTCTACAAATTCATCATTATTTTCCTCTTCTTCCTTCTCCTCTTTTTCTTCTTCTCCTTCTTCCTTTTCTTCTTGTACTTAATATCATTTCTATCATCAGTTTAATGTTGTTATTATTATTATCTTTAATAAGTAGTTCTTTTAATTTTCTTATCTGTCTGTAAATATTACTATTTTAACTTATTAATTTTATACATGGCTGTAAGGGACCCCACTGGAAATAAGCTCTCGAGCTTTCGTGGGTTATCCTGTTCAAGCTGACTTTTTTTTGATCTGTTATTATTGTATATTGTTGTATGTTGGAAGCTTGTCGAATAAAAATCAATCAATCAATCAGTGGCAAGGACACTGTATAATTAATAACTTAGATGACAGCAGAAGCAAGGCACCGTATTTCTACCTCCGCTGTTAATAATTTCTGCATAAATTTAAAACATCTCATCTATTAAAAGATAACCATGTTAATAAAATTGTTTCCCCTCAAACTATGACTGTCCTTGTAAATATCATCATCATTCCCCTTAAAAATGTCTTGTCGAATTTCGTTGAATTGAAGCACTCGCTCAAACTCCCCGGTCTCTTATTTAAGCCATTAATACAGAATCTTCATTCGAGATATGGATTCAGTTAATAGCATTATTTAACTCAGAAAGTCGTGTTGTTGTTTTCTTACGACATCATAATCTGTATGTACAATGATCCTCTCGGTTAGTGCTCTTCACATTACTAACCCAAGGGTGTGTAAAGACCACCGTCTAAAGATTTTCCAATTTAATTCCCGGCTGAGATATACAGTTTCAATATTGTTGTTCGGTAAGCGTTCACCAAACATACAGCTTCTCCACGCATTGATCCAGGCTTAAGTTAGGCATGTCCGCTGAATTTCACATGAACATGGCGCCTAGACCCCCCCCCCCCTTACCGCTAAATCCATAATTCATTATCCTTAATTCCGAAATCCAAAATCCATAATCCATAATCCTAAAGGGAAATGTTATTTTGAAAGTATTTAGCAAATGTATAGTTAATTGGAGATGATAATAGCATAGCCTACGTAACGAGTGACGTAGAGAGTGTATATCTTGCTTATTATATGTCATACGAGTAGTAGTTAGTGTTCATCTGCGCTTATGGTGTAAGACAGTATTATAAACAAGATACCTGGAATTTAAAAGTGCGGGCACGTGGTTATGAGTCGTGACGATCGTGTACATCTCGTGACGAAATAAATTGTAAAATAAGACGACTGCTGACGATTTGTTAGGTCTGTATTTTAAAAATAAACATGACAAACAGAAGCATTTTTAGTATAAAGTATATTTTTAGTAAGCTTCTGAACTTTTCATTTTCTTTATGAATATATAAGGTGCAGTATATTTGACGTCTTGATAATGTCAAAAGTTAAGTTTTTTTCTATTGACAGTGGTTAATGCTAAATACAAAAAAAAATGGAATATGAAGTAGTTTTTTTTCTTCTCATAAAATTCATGTTTCATTCCTCTGTTTCTCTCGCTATATCTACACTGTACGAATCTATTCTTTTTTTTTACCTTCCTTCTTTTCATTTTGTTTCCCCTTCTTCATGTTTTTTTCACACATTCAAGGCGTTGTAATCATGGGAGGTTTTTGTATTCACTTTAGGATAACAATTTTTAAAGTATTTTTTATAATGAATAGTTTTGTAAAAAGTACTTTATGTTTACATCCTCGCAACTGAGACTGAAGTCTTTTTATCACAGTTATCAGATGAATCTACGCTATCTCTGACATTGAAGTGGTTGTATTATCTTTTATCTACACTTGCTCAATTGTCCTTTTTCTGATTTCGTTTGAATTTTCTTTTAGCTAAATAACATATTAATAGAATTAATAATACGAATGATAATAATAGTAATAACAATAATAATGATATTGATAAAAAATAATGAAATTCATTACAAGATTAATCAAACTAACATGTAGGCTAAGATATTTAGAAGTTTGATTAATGGTGGGTGTTTACTAGAATAGTAAGCACGGCATAAATGATTTAACATGTGCTAGCGAAAATGTCATTATGAGCCTTAGATATCAAGCCATCAATTTGTTTTTTAAATCAAAAAAAAATTAATTTTAAGCTAATCTTAGAAGTAGGCCTATCATTACCACATGGAGCCGGCATCTAGGAATGTCGTATTTTCACAATTCAAAATCATTAACACAGGCATTGTTTACTTATACATTCAAGTATTAATGATTTCTCTTTAAACTCTTGAAACTCAATAACATTTTCAATCCAATCTTAGATTTATCTTTTCGCAGTGCATGGATTTGACATCCATGAATTGTTTGCTTTTAAAATTCAAAATCCTCAATTTATACGGTACAGATATGCAAGGCAGATCTACTACTATATTTATATGAAGTTTCAGTTTTTATTACACTGTCGCTCATAAAGGTGGAATATTTTTTTATTATTCCAATTTATGGAATTATTTTTAAAATAATCTAAAAATAATAGATCTAGATAATAGTATACATTCTCAGATTTTATTGAATAATAATTTGCCAATGTGTGTTTTGCGTGACTGCTAAAGCATGTGTATGCTACTATGCTTATCAACTAGGGGACCTATGCCCTTAAGTCATAAATGACAGTAATGAGGATTAATGCCCCACAAAAGGGCACTAATATAGCACATCGACACGGTCTTGATCCTGGGGCCTCACAGTTACGAGGCCATTGCTTTGTCACTGAACCATGACTGTACGCAGCGGGGGCTAGGGTAGGGGGCAGTTTCCATAAATTTAAAAAAAAAAACAGAAAATGCAATAAATTTTCAATAATTTATTGCATTTAACCCCGGTGCCTAACATTAAAAAAATGTATGTGTTCCCATACCTAGAGCCATTATGCATGGCCGTCCAGAGGATTTTTTTATGTTGGGGACCGGGGTAAAATGCAATAAATTATTGAAAATTTATTGCATTTTCTGTTTTTTTTAAATTTATGGAAACTGCCCCCTACCCTAGCCCCCGCTGCGTACAGTCATGGTTCAGTGACAAAACAATGGCCTCGTAACTGTAAGGCCCCAGGACGAAAACCGTGTCGATGTGCTTTATTAGTGCCCTTTTGTGGGGCATTAATCCTCATTACTGTCATTTATGACTTAAGAGCGTAGGTCCCCTAGTTAATGAGCATAGTAGCATACACATGCTTTAGCAGTTCCGCAAAACACACATTGGCCAGTTATTATTCAATAAAATCTGAGAATGTATACTATTATCTATATCTATTATTTTTAAATAATTTTTAAAATAATTCCATAAATTGGGGTAAAACTAAAATATTCCACCTTTATGAGCGACAGTGTACATGTATTTACATTCGATTACTGATGCATTACAGATGGTGCAAATATAGGCATTAACAGTCAACAATACAAACCCCAGAATGTGACCCTGGTGGGTATTTTAGGTAATCTTACTATATACTCACTTCAAACGGTCTCCTTCAACACGTCCACATCTACCCGAGATTACCCATCGACGTGCTTCAAACCAAGAGCTACGACCAATCGAATCTTCCTTCTAACATCTCGCCCTATATTCTTTCCGTATCATGCACTCACTTAATCACCTCTTCCTAAATCATTTCGAAATGATACAATTCCCGAAGAAGCATTCAAAACAAGGCAGGGAAACAGGTCCGTTATCGAATCGGTGATAGAAAGGGAGATGTTTGGAAAGAGAGGGAGTCGTAAATTCTTCACGATGAGAACGAGGAGTAGATATATAACGTGCCAAAATCAACACCTTGTTGAAATGCAAGTGATCTCCTTCTAAATAGCTATGATGTTGGTGGAAGCGTGAGATGCACTTGCCGCACTCGCTTTGCTGTGCTCAGTGAGAGCGGAAGCATAATCACTCAAACGCTTTGCAGTGTACAGCCGATTGCGCATGCGTTCTTTGGTCCTCTTCTGCACGAATGCATTTAAGAGTTAAAATGTTATAAAGCATTTCTGCTGTCATGCAACGTCATTTTCGGATATGTTTATAATCCATTTCCCCAGATTTTATTTTTACCAGTAGGCCTACTATATTTGAACAAAACAATATTATCTGGAGAAAATGCGCGAGGGAAATTATTTCTAGGAGAATATGTACTAAAGATTTTTGAAGAATTTAGAGACATGACATCATAGTTACATGACCAAATTGACAAATTTAAATTCCTGGGAAAATGTTGTGATGTCGACTTTCCCATATGCGGATATGCCTAGTATTCTTGTTTATACTTATTTTCTTCTGTATTTTGTTCGGGTAATATTATGTGTTTATATATATTATTTTGTTTGCTTTTTGTTGATACCAAATAGAGTCTTATGGAAGACCATCACTACTGGTGTAAATGTGCTACTCTGTATAAATGTTAGAAATAAATAAATAGATGAATGAATAATTAGATAAATAAAGGGTGGATAAACCACAAATGGGATAATGGGTTAGATGTACGTTGTTGCAAATGAGGTAAGAAAAAGGCAAATATGTATGATGAGGTTTTGGATTCATAAAACAGATTTCAATTTGACTTAATTTTCCTGGAATCAGAAGCAATGAAATGCAGCGGAATGCTCAAACACCTGGCACCTGAATTAGTTCTATAATTATGAACTATTTCTATTCGTTGTCTAAATCACATGGCTTTAAAATCATTTCTTCTAATGAGCCACTGATGACGCTCTTCCGCATGGGGAAAAACGAGAACCATTAGATCTACCAAAACCCAACCTTCTCTTTAAGTATCTGTCATGATCATGTTTTGTATTGGCTTTCCCTGTCTTACATCTTCCATATGGTTTGACATTATTCTCACCAAAGTGGTTTCGCTTTTACAGGCTTTCGGATCAAGTAACTGAGGATGAATATTTTAATGACAATTCACCTCAGGAAAATGTCAAAGAGTTTCCTGTAGTTACGCCGTACCGCCTGGCAGTTCCGTATCCAGGGGGGGGGGGCACGTGCCCCAAAGAAGGATGACAAGAGAGAGAGAGAGAGAGAGAGAGAGAGAGAGAGAGAGAGAGAGAGAGAGAGAGAGAGCTAGTGTGTGTCAGGGAGAGAGGGAGAGAAATAAAGAAAGAAATAGTAGGGAATATTATAACCATTCTACACTAGGTACGGTTTCATTAGAGGTGGAGTGGGGGGGGGGGGTGGAGCATCAAATGGGAATATGGAGAAAGAAACAGAGGGAAAGAGAGAAAGAGAAAGGGATAGAAAAGGAGACTGAGGGTAAGCGAGAGAGACAGAGAGAGAGAGAGAGAGAGAGATACACCCGACTGTCTTGTTTTACGGTATTTCGTCCACTAAATTAATGTACAATTGTCATCTACTCTATCTATATATACTACTATTCTGCTTTTATACTTTCAACTCAATTTCCAACTCAGTGAGCTACTTATCACTAACTACGATTTATTTATGCTCGAAATGAATGATTTTAAAAATCAATCTAGCTAAATTCAAGGATATAGTGCTTGGGTGATAAAGATTACGGTAATGCCAATTCAAAGCTTTTAGTCTGTTTATGATTATTTGTGACTGTCATGATCTAAATCCATATATTAAGTCGATGACATTAAGACTGTGGTAAAATGCGTGCAAATCTTTTTTCTTCACATGTTCAAGTTTATGAATATTAAACTGGAAAACGTGAAATGTCAATATCGTACAATAAAAAAGAAGAAGCGGTTTTCAAGTTCCTTTGATAATTGTCCTTGAGCACACGAATTATGATAATAAACATGTAGCATGTTCGTGTGATCGATGTAGATAATTTATCACAAAAAAGATGGGGGGGGGGGGCATTGTGATGATCATAATGCTTTCATAGAATTAAATTTTAATATTCTGATATTCATGATTATCGGATTATTACAGATATAAATAAAAGAATTGAGCACTATAAATGTGACGAACTGCACTCAATCAAACTATGTATGGTGATAACAGTGTTGTACTAAAGTCTTCCGTAATTATCACACGCTTCTAGGGCAATTACCCCCCTGGGCAATCAACCCCGACCAATTACCAGCGGGACAATTAGCACTTGAAAATTACCCCTTATGAAAATCACCCCCCCCCCCCCGAGGACAGTAATTAACCCCTTCTTGAAAATAGCCCCCTTGGACAATTCCCCTATTTTTATTGTTCTTCTTCAAAGCAAGTGGCAATTACGACGGTATAATGTCACAATGCCTCACCAACCACCTTGACAATGGCTATTAAACGCACATCAAACATGTGATAAAGAGTACGAACTTCAGCCTTCACTAAAAGGGACCACTGGGACAGTTTAATCAACACGTTGACATTGTTTCTTGATAAAATTACGTAGAGGGCGTACGCATGTCATATGATATTGACCAAATTGTGTCGGTATTTTTATGTTCCCCGGTAAAGAAGTAGCACATGGATTTTGGATACTAATCCGTTAATAACCCGATCACAAAAAGCTTTGGGAAAAATCAACCTTGGGCAATATCAATAGCCTTGTCCATCAACTAATTGCAAACATTAAAATGAAATTACGTAATCAGAACTTGGTATCCTTGGTAATTAGACAGTAGGGTTTTAAATCGTGCGAGCTAAAGCCTGCCAGTTGATTTCTCGAAAGTGTTTATGCTCGTGTTATTAAATGGCCTACAAATCAAATACTCATACACCGAGGCCTTTAGGAGCCTCACAATTCAAACAACCTTTACCTCATATTTGTATGTTCGTTTGTTTAAATATTATGTCTGCGTTCATTAACATTATACAAGATAATTAAATATCAATCGTGATTTTAAACCCAGTGTCGGGTGAATATTTAGTAGAATCCTAACTCCTTGGTAAAATACGAAGCGTTTGGCTCTTTCAAGCAAGTTATCGAAGCCTTGAGCCTACAGCTCTAACTCATTGCTCTTACTAAAGTAATCCTTTCTGTCATTATAGAACAACTATCACACTTCTAATTCCCTGAAATATTAACAAAGCATGTTATTAAACAACTTGATGAGCAAGGAACAGACGAAAAGTACCGACAAGACAGCGGAAAAGGTGTCTGTTATTCTATTTCCAAGTAATTTGAGCATGCAGAATTTATGAACTCCCGATTTGTAAGTGTTTGTTTATTTGACAAGCAGTCAACTAAAAGGCCAATCAGACTATTGTCAAAGAGGTTCTTTAATATGAAAATACAAAAGCAACAGAACAACAGCATAAACTAATGTCTTGAACTTATATGGCTCTCCTCCATCTCTATGTATGTGTCTCTCTCATGTTTCCTCCTCTTTACAGGCTTGCTCCAATTTCTTTCTCTCCCCCCCCCTCTCTCTCTCTCTCTCTCTCTCTCTCTCTCTCTTTATGATTTCCCTGCTTCTTGTCTATCACTATGCAGGCACATAGCCAGGGGGTGGTGGGGGCGGTCGCCACCAAAGAAAATGCCGACCAAAGAGAGAGAGAGAGAGAGAGAGAGAGAGAGAGAGAGAGAGAGGGAGAGAGAGAGGACGTAGGGAAAAAAAGGAGCAGACAAATAAACTTTTTGAAAATTCAGATAAAGATTAAGAGTCGATAACGGTGCAACGAATCGTCACCTTTCTCTGATAATTTTATGAAACGTCAAAGCTTCCGCGCTTCGCGTGGGAGGGGGGGAAGGAGGGGACTCCACCTTCCTTGCACCCCCCCTTAAAGCGCTCGGTAAGTGCTCACTACCGTCCCCTAAAATAAAATCCTAGCTTCGCGTTTGTCCCTATGTGCCCCCTCTCTCTGCCTCTCTCTCTCTCTCTATAAATCTCTCTTGTATCAGGAGGCCAAACTCCCTGCTCATATCCTCCTCTATACACGCTTGCTCCAATCTTTCTCTCTCTCTCTCTCTCTCTCTCCCTCTCTCTTCTCATTTAATAAATTATGAATGTGACTGCTCTATGTCTATCTCTCCCCTCCCTCTCTCCATTTCTTCCATTCTCTATCTCTCCAGCTTTCTCTTTCTTCCTCCCATCTTTCACGACATGACCAAAAGAAACTATCACGAGGAAGCATGATTACGTCATTCCATTTAATGAGACCGTTTTGGACAAAATGTGTCAGAGAAGAAAGCAGCTGATTAAAAATGTGACTACTTACAGTCAGAACATACTGTCTAAGTCGTTGATTTATATTCATGTATACACCTCAATGTTTTCCAGTGAATTAGCTAAACCTGCTATCAGCACAATACTACATTGGGCTACATGACTGTAGGAATATTGATACTTGACTTTGAAACGAGATTAAAATTGTATATATATACGTATTTCAATTTTTCTTTTAAAGGCAGGGTTATATATTGGTTGGGGTTAGGGTTAAGGTCAATCATGACTGATAATAATATTAATAATAATGAACGATACTTGTATAGCGTATCACTAACACAAAGAAAGTCCATGATCACCAATGATTTGTGTTTCGCATTAATTTGACAAAAGTCTCAACAAACAGAGAAGTCGTCTGACCACATGGAGAAGATCCAGCTAGTCTGCTTCCCGAACTTTTCCATTCTAGCCTGAATCTTCTGTTAAAATAAAAGAAAAGTAAATATGTTATAAATGATTCCCGGGTGTTTTGGCTGTGTACTGACAATGTGCATGCGCCGGTTGCAAGTCAGAAAGGGTAAAGTGCTGTGATATGTTGTGATTCTGCTAGCGGGATAATAAAGAGTCGTACATGTGCATTCTGCGAGCAGTGTAGAATTGGGTAAAACTGTGCACATAAGAGGTCAAAATGCATGTTTGTTGAATAAAATGTACCCAACCTCGGTTAAACAATACCGAGTGTTGGTAAACTCTTACCCAACA